ATCCCATTCATTTTAAATCAATGCCATATATTTCTGCAAGCTGAAGGCAGATCTTGCGAGGTCAGTGATCTAGTGTCAGCTAATCTCCTCAAAACAGAAGTCTCAAAGCCAGGACTTGTTCAGTAAAAAGAGACTGTTCCAAACCACAGACCTGCCTATCACATGTTGAGGGAAAACTTGAAGTCATAGCCAGAAAAGAACCTTGGTATGGCAGAAAGAAGAGAAAGTAGCACACCTTTGACAGAAGAGTAATGAAATTATCCTTTCACCTCAGGCTTGAAACCCCAGGTTCAGATGAATTGAGGGAGAAACTTAAGGCAAATAAGGCATCTCAGGCAGCATGTGCTAGAGGAACAAAGTAGAAATGACCATGTAACTGCACACGCCTGCAGTAGCACTGGGCTTGCTGCTGCTCCGTGAGTCCTTCCCATCCACATCCTTCCTGGAGAACCGCTCTTGTTTCCTCAGTCTCTTCTGAATGACACCAGAGAGCTTACGTTGCTCAGTGTATCACTTCACAGCTTTGTGGAAAGCCATGCATTTTAGTCAGTCTGCCTGTCCTTCCAGGACACTTTATCAAGAAGTCCACTCCCCAGACTTCTGTTGGATTGGGTGCTAGATCAGGCCTCCTTTCTATGACCCAACCTGGGGGAGCAAGTCCTTTTGCCTGAGAACCTGCGGACCTGCAAGGCTCTAGGCAGGCTCTGCTGAGGATTTGATAAATATCTAGAGATAGTTAAAGGGGGCTGATCAAGACAAGTCTGGGTAACTGATATTTGCTTTAGGCTACAGACCTAAGTTCATACCCTTAATGAGGCTGAAGGTGATAAATAAGAATCTGTTCATGTCAGGGTTGTGGTATCATAACTGCTTAGTGCTACACTGGAAATCGAATAACCCTGAGTAAAGGGGAGCAGCAGGCTCAGTCAGATGGTCCCAGCACACAGCCAGACTGGTGCAGAACCTTTTAAGCCTAATGCACATATACGAACAAAGGCGGATTTGGAAAGAGGAAGACTGACCCACACTTGAGTACCCCTGAGTAGGATTTCGGGTGTTAGAATTTCTCAGCTCTGTCAATCAGGATAACATTGCTGATCTTTGCTATATATGTTCTGGCTGTATTCTCTTCCTTCATTCTCCTAGCAAAGTAAAATTTGATTTAACTGAATGGTGTTTGTGTCTGGTTTTCCCATCAAATTAAGGTTACTGTTCATTAATACAGAAGTTGCACACCGCTACACAGGGAAGTGACAAGAACCTGGAACTGTTTCCTATTATTCTCCTAGAAGCTCAAGATGTAGGTCAGAGGCAGAAGCTCATGATGTAGGTCACCTTTCCCACACTCATGACAATGGGAAAGGTGCAGCAACATGGCCAGACCAACACACTCTTTCTCAGCCATGCAGAGGCAGGTGCTCTGGTAAGGGAGCCTCTGGTGCTGTGGTACCTCCTATGGTCCTAGTGGGGATTTGCTCCCATCCCCAGGTTGCAGGGGCCCTGCTCAGCTGCCTGAGGCTTTGACATCATGGTTAGCAAAGGGAGCGGTACTGGCTGACCTTTGAGTATGCAGGGAAGCAATCCAGAATCCCTGATAGAGTAACGGATTTTTGAACTCATTGGCTTTGAAGACTCCATCTGCCACCTGCACTGGCAAGGTCAGGGTATATCGGTTGCAGCCTGAGTAGGCTGCCAGATCTCTGCAGGGTTCAGGGTTCAGTTCTAACCTGGTCCCTCAGTACCCAGCAGTGAAGAGCTTCTGCCGGGCCAGCCTTTCTTCATACTAAATCCCAGCTCCTCCTTTCATTATCTCTGCTTCTCTGTCATACGCACATGCTCATGCATGTACACACACACACACACACACACACACACATACATACATAAGAGGCCTGGGATTTAGTAATTTAGTACTGTGTTTGATCCAAAGCAGAAATATAAAAGTATAACAGCAACTTATCTCTACAGCAGAGGAAAAGAACTAAAGCGACAGAACTAAAGTGCGTTTATGTGACTCAAGACTTTAGTGACAGCCCTCCCGCCCCATCTGAGATGACGGCTCAGGGAGGGGGACTCTCAGCCTTTCTCTCATTACCCATGACTAATGTAAACATTAGGGATGACATTCCCTTGTCTGATACAGTTCCAGGACGGCACACGGCAGCCTGTCAGAATGAGGGACACACACGATGATTATAACTGAGAACGTCACTGAGAATTGTCATGCGCCAGCCACTGGACTGCACTTCATGGAGATTAACTTGTTTAAGCCTCACAACCACCCTTGAAAGGCAATGCTCTGATGGCTACTTTGCAGATGAGAAGACTGAAGCAGAAGGATAAACAACCAGCACACAGCAGCAGAGCAAAGGGAATCTAGGCCCATGCAACCCCAGTGTGTGTCCCAGCGCTCTGCCTACAGCCTCCTCTGCCCAAACATCGGCCAGCAAAGCATGGCCAACCTCCCAACGCTGCTTTTTATCTCTTCTGGTACCATTGCCCCAATTCTGCCAGTTACATGTTTATTTCTAAAAGGGGAAGCATCGCTTCCCCTCTCGGGATGGATCTGGAGTCCAGGGCATTACTTCAAAGAGACAGGAAACAACAAGGAAGGAGCGCCTCCTCTCCAACCCATTTGCCCTCCTAGCAAGGCACAGGCAGTTCACTTCCTTAGCTCTGCTGCAACAACTGAGCAACGACCATCTTATGAGCCAAAGTGATTTCGGCTGCTGTGCAAATGACTCCCCAGTTTCAGTGGTTTAACCCTAACGACGTTTACTTCTCACTTACGTAACTGTTGAACACAGATTTGCAAAAAGTGGAGCACTCGCGGCAGAAGGAAGATCCGCCAGATGACCCAAGTCACACAGCACTTGCCCCTCAGCAGTGAGGGAAACTTCCAAGGCCCGTTTCCTATGGCTCCTTTGAGTAACACCCGTGGCTGCTGAGGGCTGGGTATGCCACACCCCACTAAGGGTTACTCCCCTGCTATGGTCACTGAGGAAGAACTGCTTGTGCGTGAATCAGAACGCAAATCTCAGCCCCTCCACATTCTCATCCTAACCCTTTTTCTAGTCCCTGTCATACAACTTTGACATTCCTGATTACAAGTACGAATTAAAGCCAGTGATGAACTCTAAGGTGCAGAAATCTATTATGACTCTGCCATTGTCAGTGGCAGGCCTGGACAATTTAATGAGTGCACAGATGACCTTTCAAGAGTTCTCCAAGGAGCTGAAGAAGCGAGGTACAGTTCGGTCAGTGTCAGTCCCCCAGCTACTTCTCAAGTGCTTCACAGGTTCTCTGAGTCTCTCTTAGGGACTCATTTTGAGTCCAGGAGAGAGAAAGCTTTAGCTTTCATGGCCCAGGGGCAGAGGTGTCTTTAGGGACCTGCAAATTAGGGGGCCCTCGGTACTCCTTGAAGACACTCAGAGGCCCTGAGGCTTGGAGTCTCCCTTCCAACCCATTCCAACAAAGTAAGTGTCCATTTGTCCTCAGGCCTGGGCTGGGGGTCTTTCTCCCCCTCCCACGGTAGCCCCACATCTGCGGTAGCCAGACCCTGGGGTATCAATGGCAGACACTGGACAAAGGCTCTGGTTCTGCCCTCTGAGGGTGGCTGTGCAGGGAACAGCTGCCGGCACTGGGGAGAACCAAGGAGCATTCTCTGCCTGGAACCCAAAGTGCCCTCATAAATAACTGCGGCCTGTTTCCTGGCATCCCCATTCTCAGGGTTCCATTCTTTTCACTTGCTCAGAGTGAAAAGCGGAAATGCTCACAACAGTCTCCTCTAAGCACAACGAATGCCTCTCTCCTCTGTGCCCTTTTGCATTTTCATAGATAATGCTTATGGTCTGCACTTTAATGATTAACTTATGCACCATCCTGTTTCTCTTATCAGCTGTAAAGTTTACAAGGGAAGAGTGAGCTTCTTACTCATAGCAGTATTTTCTATATCGCAATGACATTTAACTCTCAAATGTTACTTAGTGAGTGTAAATTACTTTTGGGGGAATGAGTGTGCAAAAAATGAACAAAAACAAATGAGAGCAGAATGAGTAAGAAGTGACGGCGGATGAGTGAGTGACTGAGGAATGGAGGGGAAGAATGATGGCCAGCTGCCTTCAGGCATCCTACCCTCCTCTTCCCACAAACGAAACCCAATTTGCAGTAGGGAACTGAACCAAAAGAATATTTCCCGCTCTCCCCTGCATGCCCAAAGTTCTGTGACTAAATGAAACGTAAGTAGCAGTGTTGCATGCAATCTTAAGAGTCCTTAAAAAACAAATGTGTGTTTCTTTGAATCACGTCCCTGTCCACCTTTGCATGGCCTGGAAAATATGTGATGGTTGGAACTTAGCCATCATACTGCATAATGAAGTGACTTCAAGTAAAGAAATCACAATGGGACCAATGGGACAGTAAAGTAGAAAGACTGAAGACATCTAGGTCTCTGTGGATCCTGAATTCACTATAATAACACCCTATATTGTTTCCTTCTGGACCATTTGCACGTAAGAAAGAAATTTCCATTTTACCTACTGTTGTTTCATAGTTTACTGTTACGTAGTTGAACCTGATACTAACCAACTTACACAGAGTCACAGATTAGTTCCAGCACCATTCCTAGATTCAAGACCTTCTCTTTCTCAGGCTCATGAACAGCCTCAAGACAACATAGGATAGCTTGAAATGCCACATTCACATAGATTCTGCAGAGGCCCTCTAGATAGCAACCCAAACCCGCGATGTGGAACCAGATAATCCTGATCTTTTAAAAAGACAATCAAGGTAAGGGATGATCCCTGATCAATGTTCAAAACTTACTAGATTGATGGGAGTACAGATTAAACCTCAGATCGAAGGCAGGTCCCAGGAAATATAACCAGGGAAATATATCTTTGAGGCAGATCCTGGTGCTTGGCTACCTTTGGTGCTCTTGCATTTCAACAGTAAAACATTTTCTCTTGGTCGAAGTGGAACACATGGGGATAGGGTCTTACCTCCACCAAGGAGTGCCAGTGTGCGATGGGCTTCCGCGGGTATGACAGCATTTCACTCCAGTGGTCTCTGCCCAGCCTCTCTGCCTCGTTGCCTACTTGACACACACCGATGATCTCATTGTGACCTACACTGTGAAAATGGCCCACAATAGTTTTTGCTTAAAATGTTGGTATGTAAAAGCAACAGCTATTCAATTAAACTGAGGGTGCACAGGAGGAGAGGGCGTTTTTTTCATTCCCTAAGTTAAAACTATAGGCCAAGCTGGCTAGCCAGTAGAACTTGGGATTTGACGTTGTACCTGTAACACTGACATGGTTTAGTTAGTTCCCAGGAGCCCTATGTTCAAAGAACTCCCTGATATATGCTAAGGGGACCTCCTATGGTTCTAGAACTGGGTTGGTCTCTAAACCTGTGTCATAGACAGGAAGCCATCGGAAAGGTTTTTCTTGCAATAATGGCCACCAAAATTCCCACAAAAGGCACCCAAGGATGAGTGAAGGAGCAGCTCTGAGTCTGTAGTCATGGGTGTTGAGCCCACAAACAGGGTAGAATGCAGGAGCCTCCTGGATCCCCTTGCTCACATTCTGCTATAGAATAGTCTCATCGTGTACAGTACTCCCTCTTCCCATCTAGGCCCAGCTTTTACACTTTGATCCAACCTGATTTCCCACCTATGCAAATACCTTGGCTCTTTTAGCCATGGGACTAATGAAAATTTCCTTAGGTAGGTCTCTGCCTTAGGCCAATTTTTTTTCTTAGTGATTCTTTTGTTAAAATCTTTTGCATAACTGGAAGGACATCACCCATGCTTTAACTCTGTAAGAGCGAAGCCCACATATTTTCTTTCTGTAAAAGTGAGTATTTTTCTAGTATGTGTGTGTGAGTGGTAGACAGGAGACAAACATGGGGTTGGTAGCATGGAGGGTTTTTGAGTCTATGCTCATTAAAATCGGATGTATGAAGAAGCCTTGTGGATTCTGCTACGGATTTTTCCAAGCCAGATTCATGAGTTTACTGATAATGAAATTGAGCCAGAGATCGTATAATCAGATTTGTCAATGCAAGAATCTTGGCAATAGCTTGAAAAGTGCTGGCCTAGACTGTCATAGCTGGTGGGCAACATCCCCTTCTGGGGCCTGACACTACTCGTGTTGTGTGTTGCCCAGAGGAGACGTGACAAGGGTTACTGTTCAGCATGGGCTGTCACACCCAAGGGCAGCTGTGCTGGAAGACCATCACGCTTCACGCAGGCATCTGCTGGAAAAAGTGTTTAGGTCATTGAAGCCGCCTTGCTGACATTTCAGGGGTATGTAGGAAAATTTTAGCTACAAATAATATTTGTAAGATTATATTAGAAGTCAGAATGATTTTTTTCTTTTATAATTGTGCCCAGACCACGTGGGAGGTTTCTAATTAAAAAGAGACTTTGCATTTCAGTCTAATGACTGGTTTAACATGTATAATTCCCTGTTGGTACTTCCTTTGCATATTAAAATGACTGTTTTTTAAATCTGTCCTTTAAATACACAATTGGCTACAATGCAGGCTATAAATATCTCTTCTGTGCTGTATTAATTAAAAGTCTAGCATCTTATACATTTTAATGTACCCTGTCACCCATACTGATTCTAGCATTTTCAAGAGAACATTTCTGTGTTTGCTTTCAGACTTAAGTGGATGGAAATGATCTTTATTAAACACACTGCAAGGAGGAAAGAAAGAAAAAAAGGTTGAAGTTATGTATTTAGAAATGTTGATGGTCTGGCTAGAGTAATCATTCTGCCGTTTTGAGTGGAATGTTTTCCCTAAGGGTAGTCAGGATTGTCAGGCTGTAGGGAAGACCGTAGGGCCGCAGTTCTCCAAGTCAGATTTCAGGAGGTATGCAGAGATAGGAAAGGGAAGAAGCAGACAAGCAGCAAGGGTGGAGGAGGAGAAGGAGATTAAAGAGGGGAAGAAAGACTGGAAGAGCTGAGAGGCACTGCAGCAACCTGAGTCTACAGCATACTTTGAAAAACAGTGACTTCTGGTCAACCCGCCTTCCATGTGCTGCCCGTCCAGTCATTTCCTGTGGCCTCAGACACCAGCTAAGAATCCATGGCTGCTCCCCACTCTGCCCTCCCTGCCCAGGACACAGCAGACTCGCACTGAGACAGAGCTCCACGTATCTCACCGGTCATAGTCCATGACTGCTATGGACAAGTGGATTTGGTCAATGTTCTCGGGAGGGACATCAAAGACTATGGCTTCATTGTAAACAGGATTCAGCGTGTTCCTCTTGGTGGATGTTTTCCTCTTCTTCAGTCGTCTGCCGTCACACATCAGTGAGACTTTTACATAAGGATCTGTACAGACAACAGAAGCAGGGGCACTGTGAGAAGAAGTGTAGATTGGGGGTTTGCATGTAGAACTCCTTTACCACCAGCCTAGAGTTTGAGAATTTTAATTAATGCGGTGTCCAGGACAGTGACTAGTTAGGATAATTAAGTCATTCATTCAAAAAAAAAAGCACAGGACAGTGTCTTCTAAAAATGTGTGAAATTTAAAAATAGTGTGAAAACATCTGTTACGGAATTAGAAAATATTCCAGCTAGAATTTAAGACCTGCCTGGTTGTGATAGGAACAGCAATGCATAGATATTTCCAAGGAGTAGGAAATAGGCCTGAGGTCCCCAATTTTAAGCCATCCCAGGGAAGGCTTTCCTAAAGATCAGGTCTTTAAGGAAGAGAATTTCTAGATTTCCTGAATTCCTACAGGAGAGGTAGATCCTTTGAGGGTGGGTTTCCTCAAGTGGAAGAGGTCGCAAAGCTGTGTGCAGCCAAGGTATGGGTGCAAAATGCAAAGTAATTCACCTGTCAGGGAGAGAAAGCACACTGGCTGGCTTAGGCATGGCATTGTGATAGGGTGATAGGAGACAAGGTTGACCTCTGCTCCAGACAATGCTGTTCTGGTCCCCTAGCACTTCACTGTCTACCTACCTGCTCAGTGGAGAGCTCTTCATCTCTCTGAACAGCCACACGCTGCCCTGACACATCACTCATTTCAGGAGGGATGTAGAGGCCAGAGGGGCCACATCAGCTTTTCTGCTTAAAAAACCCAGAGTACAGGTCCCAGAGTATAACCCCCATCATGAGTGACTTAGAGACTGTGACTCTGTGTGTACTGGGTGTTTGTGACCACCCTGGAAGAGCCCCTGCCTAGGTTGCTTGTGAATTTATATCATGGGAATTGCATGTTGAGACTATTTTTGGTTAGGATTTAGAATTTAAGCATACATGCTTGATTCACTGGAAAAACCAAACAATGTAGTTCCCTGGCATATAGAGAAGATGGACTTTAATCCTCAAGAAGCCTGACATGGTGACATCTGAGGAAAAGGAGCCAATTAAGGAATCTATATCAGCATGTGCAAACTGTAAGTCCAATGTATGGTGAAGCCACAAGAAAGACTAATAATAAAACTAACATTATGCAGCATCTAATATATACCAGATACTGTTTTTATGACTATAAGTATTACTCAAACTTACAACCCCATGAGATATATTACTCTCATTTTATAGATGGCACCATAAAGTCCAAAGAGATTAAATTACTTAAGCCAAGGTCACATGGCTCTTAGGTGGCAGGACTGTGATGATATGCAAGCAGTTTGGCTCCAGTACCAGTGTGCTTTATTACTATATTAGAACTTTATGAAGTATGACATCAGAAACAGATGAGGAAGTCTAACTTTGAGACTGTCCCACCTGATGCTCCTGTTATGTCCATTGCCTTTAAATTCCTTGCTTTTATGATGGTAATGGTCAGCCTACCAGCCGTGGGAAGATAACAGAGGGAAAACATCAGCTCTCCAAGATCCACATTGTCCTGTAGAGAAAGCAAAAATGCAAGCATTAGAAAGTGTCTGCAGCCGGTGTGCATGAGGCTCAGCCTCAGGACTGCACTGGCAGGAACCATAATGCACCTCCTCCTCGGCTCATGAACCCCAGGCATCTCTGTCTTTCGGAGCAGACACAGGGAGAAGGACTCAGCCCCGCACTTTGGAGTCCTCACCTAGGGAAGCACAGCCCATCTTTAGACAGCAAAGCTGGGCCACATACAGTTGTCCACAGGCTGGCTGGTCCCTGGAGCCCAGAACACAGCCTCCAGGGAGGAAGTCACACCTCTTCGGTGGTCCTGAATGGAGCCCCATCCCGGTTTCTCATATCCTACCATAGTTCACACCGAGGCTCCACCCAAAGCTGTGCAACAAGTCCCCCAAGTGCTCCACAGCCCTAACCTAGCCCGGGCCCTCTGCATGCAGCCCCACAGGCCCTCCTGCAGTATTTCAAATGAAGCCCTGCACCCCTCTCTGGCTCCCTTACACAGTCCCTGAAGTGAGCCAGTTTCTCTGCGTACACCTGTACACCACCCCCAGTCCCTGCTCTCACTGCACACAACCTGTGCCCACCAGCACACCTTCCCTGGACCCTGGAATCTTCAAGGCCCTTATATAGCGTGAGCAGCAGTCTGTGACCCCCACACACAGCCCTGGATGTACCTCGTACCTGCATGGTCCTGCATACAAGAGCAGAGCTGCAGGCCCCCAAGCACCCCTCCTGCATAATCCTTGGCTCCCACTTGACACAGCTCTTCCCTTCTCTCTGTCTGTCTTTAAATCACCCTTTCCCCTCTGCTTCAGAAGACGGCAACTTGTCCAGTATGCAATCCTTCAAGTAGGTCAGAAAACACGAGTCTCTTTCTCCCTTTTTTAGCCCAGAGAGAGTGTAACTAGGCAGAGAAAAAAACCCAGTTTATTTAGTTTCAATTTCTGAGAGGTACCTGAGGTTATCGCGCTGGGCGCCTGTGTCTAATTAATACAGTTTCATACTGACATTACTCTGGGGAGTCAAGTTTTTGCCCTCAACATCCACAGCCTCCCTTTCCCTCCTGGATTCTCCAAGGATGTTTTCTATTTTTAGAAGCACAGATTCAGCTCTGTAAGGTCACCTCGCTCAACCTCTCCAGCTTGACTGTTTCCACAGGAGGATGAACCGAAGGAATCTATTTGGTGGGCAAAGCAGATGGATTGCTCTGTGTCTTTGTGATTGGTTGCCTTGCACAATAAATCATCTCACTTTGCAAGCCAGGGTCCCCTGGTTCTTGCAGCCCTGATCTCAAGAGACACAAGTGGCCAGGCTTTTCCTTTCAGGGAAAGGCTTGGGCAGAGGACCAGTCCTACAAGAGCAAGGGTTTTACACATAGCAAATTCTGGTTGCTTTATGATGCTGGGTTCGCTATGTGGGAACAAGGTCTGCCCCCACTGAAAACAGGTCTTACCCAACCTTCTGCAAGTGACAGAGGGAAAGAGAAGCTACAATGGTCTACAGCTCGTATTTCTGTTTTCTCACTTCTTGGCCCATTCCTTTGCCCTTTGATTTCTTCTCTCAGGGGATTTCCATGGTACCTATTTTCTTCTCTCACCTTATCCTGTCCAGAAAATCTTGTTTTTATAGGAGCAACCAAAGTCATGTTTGTGAACATTTGTGGTGGATTAAGTAACGGTCAACCTATAGCACCCAGGTGAACTGAATCAGTGCGGTTCTGGGTATGGAAGGCCCACCTGAGGATTATTTCTGACAGCATAAAGAACTGGAGGGGAAGATGTTATGGTGTTGATTCTCCTGGAGAAACTTCTCACGCTGGCTTTCCAGCTATGAACTCAACTGTTCTCACTGTCAGAGGAGCTCAGGTCTTCATTGTCTCTGATGATGGCTGCAGTTCTTTCTGGGGGAGCTCTGGTGCTCACCTTGAGTGTTGATTACTGGCTCCAGCGCAGATCCCTCATCCTACTGGCACAGATCCTTCATGCCGCTGGTGCAGACTTTCTAGCTCCCACCACTGACCTTTGGGCCTTTGCAGTGCAGATCCTTGATACAGACTTGCATGAGACGTTGTCGTGGCTCTAGGCAGTGGAGGACACTGCCATAGGCTCTAGGTCTTCAACTGAACTCATGCAGGACGTTGCCATGGGACCCAGGCCCTCAGCTGGATTCTTTGGGTCTTTCGTATGTGGACAGATCTACTGCATTTTTCTGCATTTGACTTTTTTTTAGTGAATATTATAAAATCATCTTATAAATTATGTGTCCTATTTTACATCTATAAATCATGACTACAACAATGCTCACAATCTATCATTCAATATACATATCCTGAGGACCTGCACCATGCACACAACTCATATATAAAGTCTAGGACATGAAAATTCACTCAGTTCAGTCCCTGCCCTCAAGGCTGATGCACATAATTAAATGTAATGTGCCAGATTACTTCTGCACTAAGTATGCTTCATTTTTTACCATTCATAAATATTTATGCTATCTGACTATTTGCTCATGAGTTAAAAAAAATCAAATCTCAGACTTGATAGTGTACTCAGAATATGAACTATGGTTAAGCGCACATTTGTACTTTTTAAAGTAAAAGTAGAAAAGAAAGGAATTGTTATCAAAGATGAAATATTTGGTTTTGTCTTCAAGTGATTGAAAAAGAAATAAAAATTTTTCCAAATTATAAAAATAGAATGATTAATAAAATGCAATACAGAAAATTTCAAGCCAACTGGTAAAATATCCCCTCTTCTCAGTTACATACCCACTGTGCCACTCCTTTCCCCAGAATAACATAGCGAATAATCATCCACCTTTTTTCTTTTCACCCATCCATCCATGCATCCATCCATCTATTTATCCTTTCATTTATTCTTTTAATATATGTCACATTGTGTGTTCAACTCTGCTCTTTCCAGACTGGGAGCTGAATCTGCAGTGATGAACGGTAGTGATGGGATAAGAACGTGTAGCTCTCGACGTTTGTAAATATTCCTTGTAAACCACTGGTTTTCAATCAGGTGCAGTTGTGCTCTGCCAGGATACATTTGATGCTATCTAGAGAAAACTTTGATTGCCCAGCTGAAGAGGGAAATATCACAAAACATCCAATGATGCAAAAAAAATAAGCTTCTCACTACAAAGAGTTACATCTGGTCCAACAATGGGGCCAAGGTTGAGGAACTCCGATTTACATAGAAGGGCATATATTCTTAGTGCAAGTCTTCCTCCAGTGCTGATAAAAGTCAAACAGAAAGGGGTGCTGGAGTATCTGGCTTCTTTGTCAACTTGACAGGAATCAGACACATAGAGGTGTCACTGGTGGCTAACTGCCCAGGAGGACTCAAGGGAAAGGAACATGTCAGACAAAGAAATGCTTCATTTGTTCCTGCTTTGTGCGGCCAAGGTTCAGAACTGTTAGCAAGATATACCGGGAACTTTTTTTTTTTTCCAGTACCAGGAATCAAACTCATGACCTCACACTTGCCAGGCAGGCGCTGTGCCACTGAACTAAATCCCCAGCCCCTATATGGGGAATTTTTGACAAGCATGTGTGAACTCTCTACCTGACAACCTGTATACTCTTCCTGTGATGTTTGCCTGTGGCGTGTGGCCTAACTAATGTACTTTTGTATTCCTCTTCTTTCCCTCTGGTGAATTCCTTCCCAAATCTCTGAAGTTCTGCTGCAAGAATTTTGGGATCAAAATGTTAACTCCATAGGATTTCCTAGGACAAAGGATAAAGATATAACCCAAGCAGGATCATTCTGAGTTATCCTTGATACTGAAAAATCAATATGGAGAAAGAAAGCTTCTCATTTTGTTGGGCTTGTTCATTGGAAGATATGAGAATACAATTGTTGCAGAGTTAACCTACATAAGTTAAAGATATATAATATATACCCAAAAGAAATGCTAAGGTAATACAATATGGAGTTGTAGTTAGTAAACCAATAAGGGAGAGAAAGTAGATGTTTTAAAATATCCAACTAGTCATACCACCCTCAATGTGCCTGATCTCGTCTAAAATAGCCAATTTAATCAAAAAGAGGCAAGAAAAAAAAAGGCAGAGAGAAAGGAACAAAATCAAAGAGAAAAATGTAGTAGAAGCAGAAGATAATTTGTAAGAAGCTAAATTTAAACCAAGCTATTTTAGTAATGACACTAAATGTAAATGAGCTAAATATTTGCATTTTAAAGCTGCTGAAGCTTGGATATACAGTGCAATTAATTGAAGCTAAGTTCAAGCCTTGATTCATCATGTAACCATTCTGCAACCTTAGATAATCTATATAATGTCTTGCTTCCTTAGTTCTGTTCTCAGTTTCCTCATTTGGAAAACAGAATTAACATGTAAAATGCAAAGTTGATTTTAAAAAGATAAACATATGATATGATATAAATATTATGTGGCTATTATTATTATTACTACCCTTGCAAGTGTTAGGGTTCAAAACATGATATCCCAAAGTACTTAGCATGGTGCTTCTCCATGCTAAGTACTTTGAACTACAGGACACAGAGAACCTCAGAAGCAAAGAGTTCTATCTGGTCCAACAATGGGGACAAGGTTGAGGAACTCTGATTTACATAGAAGGGCATATATTCTTAGTGCAAGTCTAAGAAGAAGTCTTTTTCTGATCACCTCCTGCCATTCTGTGCCTATTACCCCTTCTCATTCAAGGTGGCCCAAAGACATTAGAGTTTCTTTTCCTCAAACTAGTTCTTAGAAACTAGAATTCCATGTCGTCAAAGCCAGCCATAAAACCTGGAAGTGTTCCTCTAGCTTCGTCTCTGTCTTTCTATTTGGAGTTGGCCCTCAAGAAATTCTCTGACTTATTTTATCTGATAGTAGGTCATTAAGACCCTTATTCCAGAAAAGGTTCTGCCTTATATCCGTGAAGGAGTACTGTACAAAGAGGTCAAGAAGATCTGAACAAACATGTATGGTTGAGATCTCTTTCATCAATCTATAGAGATAGGTTACATCCAATC